TAACTGCTGTGGGAGTTTCTCTAACCGACAACCATCACATAAGAGCTATAGTGATGATACAGCGATCGACCTCACGCTGCCAGAGCATCTTATACCCGGCCAAAGGTATAAGACCTGAACTGCCTAATGGATCCACTAGTCTAATCTGAAAAGGATTCATCTAAAAAGTATGATCCTTTTCTACCCATGGTGGCTAACATGGTTCTATGGGGGCTGTGGGTTCTTTGAACGCTCCCCCAATTTGGTGCTCGATACTACTCCCAAAAATGTACTGGCTCTTATGTTTTTAAAACATATTTCTTCCTGCTGATATGAGATAATTACTCAAAAACTAGCCCGAAGGCTTTTTGGAAATCTCAGTTTCCAACCTTGTTTAAATGTAAAAACATTTCTTTAAAACTTCTTTGGGAATACATAGTTCCCTAATAACTTTGAGAAAAGAACTCAACTTTAAACTCTTTACTTTACTTGAACTCTTGGCTTGATGTGAAACTCTTAACTTAACATGAAACTCTTAACTTTTGACTTGACTTGAAACTCAATACTTAACTTGGAACTTGAGCCTTAGAATGAAGTTAAAACGCTCAATGAAGACTCTTGGAAAACCTTAAAGACTTGCTTTGACTTACTTACTTCTAAGCTTGACTTCACTTGACTTGGAAACTAACTTCACTTGAATTGGAAACTAACTTCACTTGACTTGGAAACTAACTTCACTTGACTTGTAGTTTTACTTGACTTTTGGAAGTACCTTGGAGTGTTGGAAACAACTAGGAAACATAGGTATAATACCTAGGAACATGTATAAAAAAAGAAATGGTGAATGAAAGGGAAGGATTGGTGTCCTTGGCACTAGGAGAGGTGCAACAGCCCAGCCCCTTTTTCCCCAAAAATCCGACTTTTTCCCCTTGTTTCTTTCCAATTCTAAACCCTCTCAACCTCAAGGTTTCAGCAGCAACACTTAGAATCATAAAGACCCTTATTATACAATAGATTCAACTCAAAAATCACAGCCAGAAATCTGTACTAAATCAGTAAGAACTTCAACACAACACCACTACAACTTCAACAACCAATAAATCTTCTCTTGGAATTAAAAACGAGTTGGTGTGTGGGGGTATGAACCAACCAACACTAAGGATCATAAAATCCCTCAATATACAATAGGTCACAACTCAAATACACAGCCCAATCCTGTCCCACAACCAACAATAACTTCAACAACACAACTAACAACATCAACAACAACTAACAACTTCAACAACAAATCCAATCTCTTCTCAAATCATAAAAACGAGCTTGGTATGTGGGGGGAAAGGATAAACCCACACTAAAGACTCACATACCTTGATAGGGATCACCCCCGACGAAAATCCACAATGATCTTGACAAATCTTGTTGATCTCCTCTTTCTTCTCTTCTTCTTCTCCTTCTTCTCTTCTTCTTCTCTTGAACCCTAACTCTTTCTCTTTCAAAATGGGACAAAATGATCCAAATATCAGCCTAATACAACAATATAAGCTCAAAAGAAATTATTTGTGAAAAGACCAAAATGCCCTTAAATTTCCGGAACGGAATCCCTGCCAACTGCCCAACTTTCAAAGATCATAACTCGCTCATACGAACTCGGAATCGAGAAAACTCAGTGGCGTTGGAAAGATCGTTCCACAAGCTTCGAAACCATAACTGGAACTACTCCTAAATCATCCTGATCTAGGAGTTATGACTGCTCAAAGTTGGCCAAAAACTCACTGATTTCCACACTTAGCCAAATTTCCAGATTTTAAATTTTTCCAAAAATGACTATTTCCAAATTTCAAGCTTCTTCATATTCATTTTTAAATTGTCGGATGTTACAGTCACACCAACATTTGTTTTAAACGCGTCCGGCTTAAGATGCACGGCAACAGATACATTAACAAGGTGGTAGCGGACGCTCATCACAAAGTGAAGTACCAACAGTGGCCAAGGTGAGCTCCAAACATGGTAACCGATTGTTACGAGTCTGCTCATACAAAGTGAATGTTTTATGTGTTACTGGATCCGAACCAACGTTTGGATATTAGGAAGAGATCTGTCTCTGATAACCATCTCAACATCAATTGGAGGAGGAGGGAGCCTATTTTCAATTACAAAGTACTCAAATTAACATATGACTCATGAAATAAATTAAATATACTTCAAAAGATATCAATTAAATGGTTTAATGAGAGAATAAACTTACTTATTTTGTTGGATAATAGGGCTTTGATCACCCACAAAAGTATGAGAGAAAATGTTGAGTCCATTGTTGGTTTAGAAAGTAGTATGAAGAATGTTTGGAGGTGCACCATTCCATGAAACATCATTGTTCATCTCATCCCTTGTAAAATACAATTAATACCACAAAATTTATATTATAAACACATTAATTAATTATTCATGTACAAACATTAGTTTGAAATATTAGTTTAATTAATTGTACTTATATAAAATAAGAGAAATAGTTGAGTGATCTAGACTTCATAATGGATAGTTAAACGATACCAATATTGTTACCTAATTAATTTCTTTTGTTTTCATGTATTAGATTTTATTTTATTTAAATGATTCGAGTCTTGACTTAAAAAATTTCGAAATATTACAATATTTTTCCCTTGGGATCATTCGTCCTCGAATGACTGCTGGACTGAGAATGGGAAGGGGTTACTCTTACTATATTCAAGCCTAACTCAAAATCACAAAGTACTTAACGTAGGTTGATTATTCTGATCTAAATCACAAGATTCGGGTTCTATATCTCTATAGGAAATCTCATCCCAAGAACGTAGCTCCTTAACGCTACATTCAGCTAACCTTGAGCTCATATCACGAAACAACTAATGTATCACGCATTGTCCACATGTCAATAACACCACATTCAAGCCTAGTACTATAACCATTCCATGGACTCCTACTAACCACTCCTTATAAGAATTCTTCATTCTCTCGTCACTTCTACCAACATAATTTCATGCAGTATTACCAGGAACTGACTTATTACTCATCATAAAACCTTATCTTTTTTCCTCCATATTTATAACCTTAGAAGGAATAAACACACCAACACTATCACAATAAGAAAATAGAAATCCGCTTCTCTATCATCACACCACTACTATCGACAACACCACTTTGAAACTAAAAAGGATTACTGAAAGAACTTTAGGGTAAATTATCATAAGCACGATTCATTCGAGATATCTAGTATAAGAATATGCATGACATACCATTATGTTGCTAGACATTGAGAGTAAATCATGAATTTGCAAGACTGAGCATACGATCAAGACATGAGTGCTTATATGAATAGGTTTATATCTTGAGGCTGATATTCATAACTTTATGGATAAGATTGAGATCAATGGGATAAAGTTTTTACCCCTCATTCTGGAAATTGAGCTTAGATGTGAATCTCTCTGAAGTGTATGAGTATAGGTCATAGACATATTTGATATTAGGAATATCAACAAGATGTTGTAATAGCTGGACTTGAGGAATACGCAATATTATGAATGGATGGGTATATCTCTAAAACACTTTTTGAGCACCTCTCCATCTGATTCTTAACACTTGACTTGACTTCTCATCTTATCATCTCCCACTTATGTCTAAAGTTGACACTTGAAAGCTTATATTTCATCATCTCTAAATTGGTCTACATTCTCTTTACACTAATACTCAGGAAAGGCTTATCTCATGCCTACTGAACTCTCCATAAGCAGGTACTAAAACTCATTCTAAGACCTCTTTCTAAGATGCTTCTCCTAACCTAATTTCATTGGCTTATAAAGTTGTTTCATCTAAATCTTAAGAAAGGGAAAAAAAATAACGGTTACATCAGCCTATTCCGCATTAACAGCTCAAATATACTATCTAGACACATATGGAAATCATTAATTTAATTGGAACCTCGCCTATTACATACAATCTCGGGTAGACCTCTAAATGCTCTTGTTACTCTAATGACTTTGTCACACTTCACTACTCTATCTAAAAGTTAGAATCCCATACTTGTACCACTCAAATTCATTGTATCTAACCTCGTAATTTCTCACCTACTATATATCAAACCTACCAGATCAGATAACTAGCATCATCATTCTCATGTTTCCATTCTTTTGGTCACAACACTCATCTCAAATTCAAGCTTAATGTTTATTACTACACCCGGATATCAATATAACCGCTTACATACTATACTAATTGATAACTACTAGATAAAATTGAGAAAAAGACTCGCTCACTAAGACTTCATCACAAGTAGTCAGTACTCTTTATCTCTCAGTCTTCATACTTACAATTTACTGTCACACTTCCTTTCACAACTTAAATACTATTTACCCACTCACTACACATCATTGGCTAACTAGTTCTATAGCCCTCTGAATATCATGGGATCTCCCAAAAATCATAAATCTGACTTAGATCTATCACCTCTTTTTTTTATCCCTCCCTAGGAGCTCCCACCCCTTTTGCTCCATCGGTGACTCGAACTCGCAACCTTCGGATTGGAAGTGAGGGGTACTTACCATCCGAGCAACTCCCTCTCGTCCTAGATCTATCACCTCATGAATAATTTGTTCTTTTATTCAACACCTACACTTGGTCGTTACTAACACAATGACACATCATCATAAACTCCTTTCTAGTTAAAGTATACTCTAACTCATCCTTACTAGTAACTCTTACATTACCTCATATCATGAAATCTTCACAAACTCTTCACTTCTTAGTCTACCCAAAAGGGAAAACATCATCATATATAGATAAATAAATTTTAAAGAAAATATTTCACCAAACAGTGCAACAATTCAATATGAAAACAAAATAAAACGAACAAACAAGCAAATTAAGGGTTCTACAAGTTTCAAAAGCTGAAAAAATATAGTTTTAATTCTAAAAACAAATAAAAGAACCATCAACAAATGTCACATTTGATGGCTATGTCACACCAACATTTATCTTTTAACGTGTCCTGCTTAAGATGCACGACAACAGATACATTGACAAGGTGGCAGCGGACGCCCATCACCAAGTGAAGTACCACCGGTGGCTAAGGTGAGCTCCAAACATGGTAACAGATTGTTACGAGCCTGCTCGTACAAAGTGGATGTTTCATGTGTTACTGAATTCGAACCAACGTTTGCATCTGAAGAAGAGATCTGTCCCTGATCAACCATCTCAACATCAATTGGAGGAGGAGGGAGCCTATTTTGAATTGCAAAGTACTCGAATTAACATATGGCTCATGAAAAAAATTAAATATACTTCAAAAAATACAAATTAAATGGTTTTATGAGAGAATAAACTTACTCATTTTGTTGGAGGATAGGGCTTTGATAAACCACAAAAGTACGAGAGAAAATGTTTAGTCCATTGTTGGTTTGGAAAGTAGTATGACGAAAGTTTGGAGGTGCACCATTCCGTGAAACATCATTGTTCATCTCATCCCTTGTAAAATACAATTAATACCACAAAATTTATTTCATAAACACATTAATTAATTACAAACATTCATATATATATATATATATATATATATTACTAGGATTAAAAGAGTAAAATTAATTACCTCATATGGCTAGTACTTCCAGTATATGCATTAACAATTGCACGAAAAAGCTGCCTATTTTCATCTTCAGGCTAAAAATCAAATAGAATTTTATTTCTTAGAATTAATAAAAAATGAAAACAAAAATGCATAATTTCATGTACAACAAAAATAGAAGATATCTCTTCTAACAAAAATTCTTAAAAATTGAATGTAGACAATCACTACCCGTATTCAATATTCAGATTAAAGATTACGATAATAATTCATTTTTATCTTATTTTTATATTAAATTAATGTACTTTACTATGGTTAAATAATAAATAAGGTTAAAAAAATTTGGATAATACTTGTTCTTCATTATGTTCGTCCTCAACGACGTTTTCTTCATTTCCGTCTTCAGCGTCAAAGTCAGAGTCAGAGTTTGTAAATCTCATCCAGATTCCATCTTCTTCGACAACTCGACAGTTAGGGCATTTCATTTCCCCCCTAAGATTGAACTCACTTCCAATACAATCTGCATAACAAGAAAAAAAAAATTAATTACTATTGGATCTTAATATGTCAATCGAATGGAACTAATCATATGAAGTTCAAATTTTTAAATGAAGCAATGTAAATTTTCTATTTTTACAAGATTTCGTGTTTTATTCTTTTTTTTTTGTTTCTATCCAAGTTTTTAAAATCTTTTTTATTATATTTGCTTTTGCCAACTAATACCAAGGTTTATGTCTAAAAGACAAGAAAATAATTTAATTTATGATGTTACAAGTTTTCTATTTCACTTCCAACGAATTAAAAGAAATTAAAAATCCAACTTAAAAAATTTAAAGATCCGAATACATATGATAAATTGAATAAAAAATTGCTTATGTTGAGTAAAGGAAATCTAACTAGCTACTACATACTCGATTTATTACATAGAATAATAGTTATAATATAAACACATAAACGAATAATTTATTCATTTTAAAGATTTGTAAATATTGTTATATAAACCTGAGTGGAAGAAATGTTGACACACAAGCTTAGTAATTGCCCTTGTAGAATCATCTACAACAGTCTCTAAACAAAGGGTGCAAAGTGGAGGGTTTGCACCATTTGGGAAAATGTTATTAGCCATAGCTAATAAAGAAGAGAAATGAAGAGTGAAGTGAGGAAATAGGGAGATTTCAACATTATTTATAGGGAAATTTTGAAACATGAATTAATTGACTTACTACTTTGTAATCTTGTAATAGATTCCTTAATTATGAATTATTTAGGTGTTCACATGGTATAGATGGAAAGTAACTGAAAAATTATGTGTAATACTTATGATTTGTGTTTTTTCTAATGTGAAAAGACATAAGTATCCCCTATATTTCTTTGTACGTTATGTGCTGACGTGGAGTTACAATCTGACTTAATTAATTGTGATAGCATACACACATTATCAAGTGATGTTTTTTAAAAGAAAAAATGGTCAAAATTTCCCCTCAAATATGAAATAGACCATTTATACCCTATGTTATATTTTAGGATAAAAAATATGTCTCGTTATTTTCCTAAGAGACCACAAATATCTTCAAGAGTTAACAATCCAATTTTTTAGTGACGTGGCGTGCAAGCCACGTGTGGGACTAAGCTCTTCACCTAAGCATTGCCAACTAGGATAAAGATAGAACGTAACTGAAAAATTTATCCATAATATTTATGATTAGTGTTTTTTTCTAATGTGAAAAGACACAAGTATCCCCTATATTTCTTTACACGTTATCTGCTGACGTGGAGTTACAATCTGACTTAATTAGTTGTGATAGCATACACACATTATCAAGTGATGTTTTTTTAAAAGAAAAAATGATCGAAATTTCCCCTATAATATGAAATAGACCATTTATACCCTATGCTATATTTTAGGATAAAAAAGTCCCGTTGTTTTTCCAAGAGACCAGAAATATCATCAAGATTTAACAACTTAAATTTTTAGTGACGTGGTGTGCAAGCCACGTGTGGGACTAATCTCTTCACCTAAACATTGCCAACTAGGAAAAAATAGAACGTAACTGAAAATTTATGTATAATACTTATTATTAGTGTTTTTTTCTAATGTGAAAAGACATAAGTATCCCATATATTTCTTTGCACGTTATGTGCTGACGTGGAGTTACAATCTGAATTAATTAGTTGTGATAGCGTACACACATTATCAAGTGATGATTTTTTTAAATAAAAAATGGTCAAAATTGCCCCTTAAATATGAAATAGACCATTTATACCCTATGCTACATTTTAGGATAAAAAAGTCCCGTTGTTTTCCCAAGAGGCCATAAATATCCTCAAGAGTTAACAACGCAATTTTTTAGTGACGTGGCGTACAAGCCGCGTGTGGAACTAATCTCTTCACCTAAGCATTGCCAACTAGGATAAAGATAGAATGTAACTGAAAATTTATGTGTAATACTTATGATTAGTGTTTTTTTCTAATGTGAAAAAACACAAGTATCCCATATATTTCTTTGCACGTTATGTGCTGACGTGGAGTTACAATCTGACTTAATTAGTTGTGATAGCATACACACATTATCAAGTGATGTTTTTTAAAAAGAAAGAATTATCAAAATTGCCCCTGAAATATGAAATAGACCATTTATACCATATGTTATATTTTTGGATAAAAAAGTCCCGTTCATGTTTTTCCAAGAGACCACAAATATCATCAAGAGTTAACAACCCAAATTTTAGTGACGTGGCGTGCAAGCCACGTGTGGGACTAATCTCTTCACCTAAGCATTGCCAACTAGGATAAAGATAGAACGTAACTGAAAATTTATGTATTATACTTATTATTAGTGTTTTTTTCTAATGTGAAAAGACACAAGTATCCCATATATTTCTTTGCACGTTATGTGCTGACGTGGAGTTACAATCTGACTTAATTAGTTGTGATAGCATACACACATTATCAAGTGATGTTTTTTTAAAATAAAAAATAGTAAAAATTATCCCTGAAATATGAAATAGACCATTTATACCCTATGCTTTATTTTAGGATAAAAAGTCCCGTTGTTTTCCCAAGAGACCACAAATATCCTCAAGAGTTAACAACTCATTTTTTTTAGTGACGTGGCGTGCAAGCCACGTGTGGGGCTAATATCTTCACCTAAGCATTGCCAACTAGGATAAAGATATAGCAAGCTACTACATGATTTACCATATGCTCTGTGGTGGACAAAATGAGTGAAGCGAGCTAGACTAAGATGGTTTGGACATGTGAAGAGATGCGTAGACGCATAGTAAGAAGGTGTGAGAAGTTGGTTGTAGATGGTACGAGGAGAGGTAGGCCGAAGAAGTATTGTAGAGAGCTGATAAGATATGATATGATGCAACTTCATGTTATCGAGGACGTGACCTTAGATAGGAGAGTGTGGAGGATACGTATTAGGTTAGAAAGTTAGTAGGTAATGTAGTGTTGTCTTGCTTAGAGTGACTGGTATTTGTCATGGTACTAGTTGTATTATTATTGTAGTTCTTGTTTTTATTTTGTCATTATTTATTATTGTTTTCTATAATCTATTCTAGTATGTTGTTTAATGTGTTTTGAATATCACATTATTTTATTTTTATTTTCGACTTCTTTCTGGTACTTTGCACTTTTACCTTGTTATTTGTCATATTCTCTTTACTGTCTCCTTCTTATGTGTACCCGAATGTGTTGCATAATCTGAGCTAAAGATCTTTTGAAAACAACATCTCTATCTCTACGAGATGGTATTAAAGTTTGTGTATGTTATATCCTCCCCAAACCTCATTGATTTTGTCTAATTTAGATAGATATCAACATACTTATTGAATTCCTCATCATAGATTAATTATCATAAAAAGTAAATTAGTGAATGTCAGACTAGAATGTTTGAAAGTCAATAGTCCAATAAAAAGATAAAAAGAATTGAAAAGACTTGAAAGGATGACTTTTAAGGTCAGGATTCGATCTTGTACAATTCAGACCAACTAAGTATATCTAATTTGTGCCGAAAATTTTTATTTTAGGGTAAATCGCTTTCTACTAATTGAACTTAAAATTTCTAATTAAAAATAAAAAAGTACTTATCACTCTATCACAACATTCGATAATGCTAGGAACAACTTAATAACAACATGCAAATCATACTGAGTATAGGATTCTATTGTCATTTACTTTCATAGTACAAAGAATGCAAAATTTTGGATACACCACTTACTAAATATGAGAATGTCAACTAAAAAAATATATTAGAAAGTTCTAGATTTAATTCTATATAAATCAAGAAAATTAACTCATGGGGGGCAAAAAAAAGTTGTCTTAAACTTTTGGCTTTGGCTTCTTCACAATCATCACAGAGCAATGAGCATGGTGAGAGCAATAGTCACTTACACTACCCAAAACAGCCCTGTATATAGCATAGAACAATGAAATTTAATCAATAATTTCCAGTAAAAATTAAGAAAAATATTGAGAAAGAAAATTAAACTCTCAAGTGATTATGGGTACTTTATTGTACTTTTTTAAATATAATTATCTGGTATTAGAAATTTACTGGGTCGACTAATTCAAAGTTGCACTTCATAAAATCCATTCAAGGAGGAAAAGCCCTTAAGGGCATCATGTCCATTATTGAAATTTTAACTCGAGATCTTTGTCAAGGATAAAGAAAAACTCCATTAATTTATATCATTAATAGTATACCCCTTGGTGGTATTTATACTTCTTTTATTCAAATTTATTAATTGATACTTAGTCAATATGATTAACTTTCCAATAGAATCAACTAGATTTAATAGTTCATTTAAAAATTGTGTTTGATCAAGGTTTCAAAAGTGCTTTACGAAAAAAAAACCTATTTTTTTTCAATTTCTAAAAAACTACCTTCTACTATTACTACTACTACTTAAGTCACTTATTCTTAATTTCCTAAAAAAATTATCAAACAGCTTTCTAAAATAAACACTTTAAGAAAAATATTTTAAACTTTTCACAAACTTGGTCAAACATGTTATTAATTTCGATTTTGGAGAGATGGAAGTGTTGAACATTTTTTTAAAGACAAAGAGAGTTGTAATTATTCTTTTTTTTTTCCTTTTCTATTTTGTACCTTTTAAAAGCTCCATATCCATGACTTCCCATGGCCAAAATAGAGGCATGATATTTTTCAACAGCCTCACAAATAACATTCCTAGCATCACCTTCAAGAATTTCACATGCTACATTTGACACCCCTTTAGTCTTGCATAATTCTTTAGATTTGTCAATAGTTTTTTGGGCAGCCTTTGTAATGTCTGTTTCTACCAATGTAAACATGTCACTTGTACCTATACAACATTAAAGAAGTTGAGTTTAGTAATGAGATGGCAAAAAGGAAAAGGAAATAAGTAGTTCTAACAAAATCGGCATTAAGTTGGCAAGTAAGAACTCTAACTTTGAGGGTACACATCTAGACATATTAACTTGATCTCAACTGGCAACTAAACATTCCAATTCTGCCCCATTGCATCGTCTCATGGACACTTAACGCTGACATGTCACATAAATTTTAGAGGTGTTTAAATGATCGTTTTGTAAGTTGAGTGTTCAGCTGATACATCAGAGACGAGTTGAGGTACTTAAATGTACATATTCAAAGTTGAAGTGCATGGTTGCTTGTTAGTTAATTGACACATCTATATTATTGGAAGGGAGAAAAATATGTCTATATTATAAAAAGAAAAAAATCACGTCTAAAAGATAGTGGTGCCCCGTCATTCTCAATTCCTGATCTATTGATGGGAGGGCTAGATAACACATACTACGTGAAATAATCAATACGTGCAACGTAAGTTGATTCAAACATCATATTACTTTTTTTTTAAAAACTATATATTTGTATTGAGTACTCCATCAAATTTAAATAGTAGTACATCCACTTATTCATACAACATTGAAAAATAGAGAAAAGAAATGGCCTAGGAGTTAATAACCAAATTATAACCAAAATGTCATTCAACAATAGAAGAAAGCAAATGAAAAAAAATAAAAATTCACCAATAACTTGTACAAATATGGAAAATAATTAATAATACCTGGTCCAGCAATTGCAACAACAGAAGTTGGAGTAGGTTTTGCAT